TTCCACAGTGAGCCTCGCTGACATCGGCCCGCTCACTTCTGGAGTCTTACATATGACTGATTCACCATTCCAGTGGGCCCCTGGCGTGATGGGCTGTGTCTATTACAAATACAAGGTTGTACGGACTTCTTATTTCTACTAACCCTACCAGAATATAGTTTCACGGCTGGATATTTAAATTATTATTCAATCAAAACTTCTTTATTATTATCTAGTTATCATTTATAAGCAATTTTACAAATTTACTTTCAATTTGCATACCTTTTACTGGCAAAATAACTTTGCAGTATTGGGTTAACATGGTGGTGTAGCAGTAGGAACTCGAGATATCAATCGGATACCAACTTTTTGGTATACCGATACCAAACCGATACCAACTTGGTATTTGGTATTTCAAGGCGAGTGCATTTGGTATTTTGTTGGTATTATGAATCCTCATGTAAAAGAGGCTGAGAATTTGGTAAAAAGTTGGTATTTTCCTCATATTCCCAAGTCTGTTTGGTTTCGGTATTTTTCAATGGATATTGTTGGTATTTGGTTGGGGATCAGTATCACGATTTTCCGTAATTGACATCACTAGTAGGAACCATATCTGGCAAAACCCCAATACCTACATACAGCAGAAAAGCAGCCACCAGGTGTCGCCAGTCGTCGCACAGATGTCGCGCGCGTTGCCAATCGCCACACTACCGGTTTCCATAAAGACGCATATGTACGGATATGTATGGAAAATTGCCCTTAAGGATTACGCTTACATCATTTGCTTTTGAGGTCGATGGTTGGAAATTGGGAGGGGCTCGGCTATTTTCGACCACGGATATGGCTTTAACACATGATGAGGAACATGCTGATAAGCGTTTATGTGTCATAACAGCACAAAAGTATTTTTAATCATTTTTCAATAATAGCCGTTCTGCCGTGTCGTCCAGTGCAAGGTGCCGTCGCTCATCCCCGACGTTACGTCACGCCGGGGATTGCCAGATTTTCCTACGTGACTTCGGACGCCTCCTGGGCTGGTCAACCTAGCGATGGACGAGGTCCACACTCATAGATATAAAGACTAGATAGGACAGCCCTGTGTAAAACCCGCTCGCTAGATACGTAAAGCGGCCCGGCGGCCAACCACAGTCGACATCATAGACTCGCTAATGCCTTCCCATGTTAAAACGAACATTTTTGACGGACTCGTACGAGTTGTTGAATGCGAGTTAGATGTCATAAAGGGTCTCAAATGAAAGATTGGACCGTCTTCTTATTAGCATCCAGGGTTTTTAGTGGCTGACATGCCCTTGACAGCTTGCAGGACCCCTCCTAAGAGGACACTGCAGTGTCGGCTTGTAATGTTATGGCAATGGGGAAAATGATATTTTAGATGGGTCAGTGGGGATTTTCGCATGGAAGTGAGAAGAACGAACAAACAATTGATATCGTGAACTGAGATGACCTCTGTGACCTAACATGACCAATCGTGACCTGAGGCGACCTCTGTGACCTTGCATGACCCATCGTGACCTGACCCGACCTATCGTAACCTAAGGGGTCCCAGTAACCTGTCATGACCAATGATGACCTGAAGTGACCTGACCTGACCTACTGTGACCTGAGGGGTTCATAGTGACCTGCCATGACCCTTCGTGACCTGGCACACTGGCGGATCCAGACTTGCGTTTTGGGGGGGGCCAACTCCTGCAAGTAACCAAACCTAGGGTACCCCCAAATCCTGTTTTCTCATCGGATTTAGGCCACTTATTTTTTCGTCACAGCCCTGAAACGATATTTTTTTAAACTAAAAATAAAAAAATATAGAAATGGTAGCCCACCCAACCCGAGCCTAAATATTACTTTGAAAACACTTCAAATTGCTTTTGTCGACCAATTAGCCCGCTCCGGGTCGGTGCGTGGCGCAGCCTTCGCGGGCTGGGAGGTGTCGGTTGGACCCCCTGCCGTTCGGCCCCTGATTAAGCTAGAGCTCGCGGAAAAAAAAAACAGGCGTGTTGCCCGTGAGTGACGAGACGAGGCCGATGATACCCGATTTTAAGGTCCTTGGTCATTGGTTGACCTTCCAGGGCGGTGTTTCACGGTCGTGCTGACAGCCGCTGACAGCGCATTCTGCGAGCTAAGGTCAGCCTTCGGTAGTGTTGTGGGTATAGGCTTGTTGATGTCTCCATTGAAACCAAAAGTGCCATCAGCGCTGGCAGCGGCTGGCAGCGTGCCGTGAAACACCGCCCAGGTCAGGTCACAGACCCAAAAGACGGGAAAATCAGGACCTGTCAGAACCTCCTAAAGTAAGGCTGTAATACGTTTTTTTTTGTGCTGATCACAAATTTCATGTTAGTTTGGATCATAGATAATGTCTTCATGCGTTTAGGCCATGTCGGGGCAGGTCAGGTCAGATCAACCAGTAGGGGTACTTATGGGCGTCCGTATAGCAGGTGTCCACTACCACTGGCAGCTACGTAACATGATACGAAGGCATCAAAACTACTTCGTAAATGTTCAAATGGTTGCAAAATGCTAAATTCAAAATCAGCTAAACGAAACTATCCTAGAAACATGTTAAACTCGGAAAAGTGCACCGAGGCCATCAAAGGTCAATGACCTGACTTGACCGTAAGGTGACATTGGCATCCGCCCTAATGCGTGGGAGCAACATCATATCACATGTTTGAGCGTTTTAAACCACGAAAAGACTATAAAAGCGCGGATAATGTGAGCCGACATACGCCGAATCGCTATTCCGGCCAAACATGGCCTCCAACATGGCCAAACAGTCTCGAGAAATAGGCCACAAGTCAAAGTTCACTTGGGTCAGGGTCATGAAATTTTCAGAATTTGTCACCATGAGGGTACTAAAGTTTCGTCGCGATCGGCTTCATGATACCTTACACGATAACTTCACACGTTGATCGAGAGTTAAAGCATGGATGAAGGAGAACCTGGGGATGAAGGTTCTTTCATCCATGGTTAAAGTGTGCAATAAGAACTTCTTGGGTGAAGACAAGACCAACACTTTTATCAAGCTCACAGATTTTTAATGATACGGTATTTTCTCTCTACCTACTACGCCCTTCTCACATTCATTTTTCTTAAGTGTTTTTGGGGACAAAAAAATATATGTTGTTCCCCTTTCAGGCTTGGGGGCATGACCCCGTGGCCCCCCTGGATCCGCTAGGCCAAAACTAACTAGGTCGTTTTCAAACGGTCTGATATTTCAGGTCATAGTTTGCAAACGGCCGGTGTTTTCAGGTAGTTTCATACGGCCTGACTGGGCCAGGCCGTTTGCAAACGGACCGAATTTTCATACGGCCTGTAACATATATTCAGATTTCGACATCTGTCGTAGCATCAAATGCTGATGTGGCGCACTCAAAAGCCGGAATTGGTCCTTGGATGCCGTAAGGACCCTTTTAAGAAATAAGTGACCCGACTGACCCTTAGAGATTGGCCTGAGCTGTGACCGAAATAAGTCTTTTACCGTTTCGCAGGAAGGGACAAAAAGGTCCCTCATATGCTTCTTGTGCAATTACGAAACAAAACAATTTTTTTCAACGAAAACTCAGTGAGTTTTCCTAAAAAATTTATTGCGCATATTCCGTGAATGAAAAGTTGCCGGGTCATGTCAGGTCAGGCTGCCACAGCAAGTTTGTTAACTTGACAGCTCAATCGATATTTATGCAATAAGACCTTCTCGGGTGACGATAAGACATGACGACACTTTATGAAGGAAGCTAGTAAAGTAAACCCGGTAGTTTCTCCATAGGCGCGGGAACCGGGGGGAGGGGGCAGTGGTGGCAGCTTGCCCCCCCCCCCAACTCTGGGGCCGTGCGGGCGGTGCCCCCACAACTTTCAGACAGAATACCGCTCCTTTTTGCAAATGTTTTCTTTTTTTGTTGAAAAAGCCAAGGGATGAAAAATAAGCGGCCTAAAACCGGCGAGAAAACTATATTTGGGGGATCCTAGGTTGATCTCTATCATGGTGTGACCTCCCCCCCCCCCGTCTAAAAGTAGTTCCCGCGCCCCTGGGTTTCTCTACGCTATTGAATCACGCTGCTGATTCTAGTAAGTATCTACTACACAACCTTCTCACATTAATTTTTCTTCGAGCGTTTTGGGGGGCCAAAAGATATGTTGGCCCCCTCTTTCAGGCTTTTTGGGCCCATGGCCCCGGTGGCCCCCTTGAATCCGCCAGTGGGGGCGGTGCCCCCACAACTTTCAGACAGAATACCGCTCCTTTTTGCAAATGTTTTCTTTTTTTTGTTGAAAAAGCCAAGGGATGAAAAATAAGCGGCCTAAAACCGGCGAGAAAACTATATTTGGGGGATCCTAGGTTGATCTCTATCATGGTGTGACCTCCCCCCCCCCCCCCCCTTCTAAAAGTAGTTCCCGCGCCCCTGGGTTTCTCTACGCTATTGAATCACGCTGCTGATTCTAGTAAGTATCTACTACACAACCTTCTCACATTAATTTTTCTTCGAGCGTTTTGGGGGGCCAAAAGATATGTTGGCCCCCTCTTTCAGGCTTTTGGGGGGCCATGGCCCCGGTGGCCCCTCTGGATCCGCCAGTGGGGGGGCGGTGCCCCCACAACTTTCAGACGGATTACCGTCCTTTTTTGCAACTGTTTCTTTTTTTTGTTGAAAAAGCCAAGGGATGAAAAATAAGTGGCCTAAAACCGGTGAGAAAACTAGATTTGGGGGGACCCTAGGTTGATCTCTATTATGGTGTGCTCCCCCAGTCTGAAAGTAGTTCCCGCGCCCCTGACTTTCTCTACGCTATTGAATCACGCTGCTGATTCTAGTAGGTATCTACTACGCAACCTTCTCACATTAATTTTTCTCCAAGCGTTTTGGGGGGGGCCAAAAGATATGTTGGCCCCCCCTTTCAGGCTTTTGGGGGGGGCCATGGCCCCGGTGGCCCCCCCTGGATCCGCCAGTGACCTGGCATGACCTAATTTGCCCTTTTCAGCTTCTAGACGTCCAATCGACTCGGGAAAAACACCAATCGTTTTCAAATTTTATCATCATTTCCATGCGCAGCAATAGCAAGCAAAGTCACTAGTGGATACTACTTTGATACTACGGCATAAGGCATTTCACATCAAACGTCTCCCGTTCAGTCTCGTCCTCCTGCTGCCACCCCCCCCCTCTATCGACCACACCAGCTACCGTGTCTCACAGCCTCGAGCATAGTCGACCACACTGACTCTCGCTACAATCGCTACAATCGTTCAGAAAGGGGATAAGTATACACAAATAACCCGCTCGATTTTCGCTGTCTTATAACGAACCAGCCTTGCGTCAAATGATTTTTACGGAGGTTTACATAAAATGCCTACATTAACATTTTTGGCCTTAAAAGCATTGTGTACTGTGTAGGCCTGTAGTAGACATTACGTCCGCGTCTCGCAGCACCCAGTCGGCTCGACTCAGTCCCAGCAACCCACAGACCACCACGTACCGTCCGGCAATCGTCCCTGCAGGCCAGCTTTCCCAACCAATGGCCACAGCTGAGCTGACCAAATATTTATGCAGTGCCAAACAACAGACGACGAACCCCAACAATGCAGCACACGCAGCTGGCCCTGTTTATCATGTGCACAGTGGCGAATCGCCGCTACCTAGCTATACCCTCACGGCTCACAATGAACGATGCGGAATCCGAGGCAAGCAGCGAGAGAAAATACACCAGCAAATACACTGACCGAGATATCTAGAAATGCACCGTATAACAATTCACTTTTAACATACAGCGTTGTGTGAAACAAAGCTCTTCTCTGCTATAAGCATGTGCTTTCACACAGACGCCATCAGACATTGCAGCCATCACCACACTAGGCGCCGCGGCGGCCTTTAGCCGACAACCGAGGCCGACTTAGACTGTCACTCGTTAACCAACAGCGCCAACAGAGCTGCAGCTGCTGCCGCAGCCCAGTCTTATCGTTCCAGGGCCCAATCTTACCAATGCCGTGGATGCAGAGGCCGTGGATGCCAACCACGGCGGCTGATCCACGGCACTCCATTTACCCAATCTTACCAATGCCGTACCACGGCATTTCTATTCACCGCATTTTGCCCACGGTACAATTCAGCGCCAGCAGAAAACACGCAATGTGATTGGTCAATTCTTGTCACCTTCGCTGTTGGAAATTGTGCGTAATGCTTGTGAATAGGTATAGCTCTCTATTTAAAGTTTTGTCGGGCGTTTATTTGTTTTAGAGACATATATATGTGTGAAGGATAAGTTATTTGTGGAAAACGTGATAGCAAACTATGAAAAACTAAAGCCTGCCTAAAGAATTCTCCTGAAAAGCGGATTACTGGCCTAATAAACTTCCGCGAGGACATTCTTGCGCTGAGAAAATCGAGTGGATTAGTTTTCAACTTCGTGTCGCTGCTCATCATTTCTATTTACTTACTGTTAAGATATTGCAACAATTTTTAGATAAAATTATTGAAGTAACGACCTAGTGATAGCTCCGCTGCTGTTTTTAAGTCATTGGAATAATGCAATTGAAATGCAGCTTGTAAAGCTTAAACTTTGGGTTCATGCACCGGGCCAGCTCAAGCTATAGCCTATTTTTCTGCTTTTTACAAGCATCAGGGCTGCGGAGTCGGAGTCGGAGTCGGAGTCGGAGTCGGTCGGAGTCGACAGTTGTGACCGGAGTCGGAGTCGGAGTCGATTTTAGAAACCCGAGCCGGAGTCGGAGTCAGAGTCACCGAAAATCTGTCGACTCCGCAGCCCTGCTAGGTCTGCTGAGTCGGAGTCGGGAGTTGGAGTCGGTCGGAGTCGACAATTCTGCCCGGAGTCGGAGTCGGAGTCGGAGCTGGTTTTTGAAAGCCGGAGTCGGAGTCGGAGTCGGAGTCGCCGAAAATCCATCGACTCCGCAGCCTTGACAAGCATGATAACAAAAGGAATTCCTCAAAATATTGAAGAAACTCTTCTACATCTCAAAACCATATCAAGAAAAAGGCTTCCAGTTTAGAAGTCAGATTGAGACGCATGAAGACAGCATGCTTCGTAGCTGTCTGTGCCAGACAGAAAGTGGTAAAATATGCATTGTGAGTGCTGATATAATTGTTTAACAAGTTTACGGTATTTAATTGTTTTAAATATTTACTTAGAAATCATTAAGTACCTATGTTTGTGAGACGTCCGGACGGGGTGAACACTGAAACACCCATATTATAGCATATAGATAGGTTTGGCATTGGTAAGATTGGGCCCAGGTGCTAAAATCGCCTCCACGATCTCGTATGGATTTGAAAAATAAGACCATATAATGAATAAACATGTTTATTTTTATGGATTTGAGTGTGATTTTATCCCTGGAAAATACATGTTTTTGAAATAATCACCATGCGTGTAATCGTCGCTCTAAGATGTCAAGGGCATTATATGAATTCTTTACTTAAAAAATAATAATAGTGTCAAATATTGCATAGTAACATCCTCCCAGCGACCTATCCCTTTCACAACACCCGCCATTCACGGCACTAAAAGGTGGCGTGAATGGAACGGCCACCGACAGCGCAAACAGCTGATTATTTGCGTTTGTTCTGCCGCTCTCGCGGCAGCTTGTGCCACTGCCCATGTTAAAGCACTGCTAAAATGCCGTGGATAAACATCGACCGCATGCCGTGAATGAGATGGCGTGAATAGCTATCCACGGCATTGGTAATATGCCGTTGCCGTGAATGGGCTCCATTCACGGCATTTTGCCTATTCACGGCATTGGTAAGATTGGGCCGAAGCCAGGATGCTTTCAACCAAGTGGTAGCAGACCCATTGCTGTTGCAGAGCTCTGCTGGCTGTGTCAGCTTTGCTGTGTGTCTGACCAGGGTAGAATAGCCTCTTCCTCGCCACTCCTTACTTTCCTGATGATCCTTAGGAAAACTGAAAGATAAGACAAAACAGAGATATTTAACTTTTTTGAACAGATAATGTCTGTGCAGTGTGCATGGAATGTACAGATGACACATTAAGCAGTCATTTAAGCTGCAGTACTGCATGAATCTGAGGTAAAAATGTCCTTTTGTGATAAAAATGAATTAAATATGAGCCAAACTGACAAGACAAACAAGTATGTTTTCACATCTAACACAATTACAACATCAAATTTGACATTAGGTAGCTGGAAGTGTACAATAATTATTTCTATAAAAAATAAATTTGGGTAATATCTAGTTTATTTAGTGGCAATTCGCAACAGCTGCCTGGATTCACTGTTCAATTCAGACATTCCTTTTAATTTATAATTAGCATGTGAATAATAAACTCATGCTGACTGAACAGCACATACCTGCATGGGGCCAAGGCAGTATATACCCATGGGGCAATACTGGGCTGCTCGACACTTGACAGCTATGCCTGGAAGTGGAATCCAAAAAATACAACTTCTTGTTTGCATCTTCTGGCATCCACTGGTGAGCTGAGCTTCAGAACTGAAAAAGAGAAAGACATAAATTGAGTTACAACTCATTCATGAAAAGCCCAAGATCTCACTTTCATATTGCAATAATTTTCATTGCAGGTGGTAGGTCAAGGTAGGGATTGGTTTGAATGAATTGCACCAAGTCCAAGTCCAGAATTCAGGGACAAAATGAAATACATATGGTAATATTCATATTTTTTACTTTAAAAACTGGAGGCATTTCAAATAAAGATACAAAATGATTATTTCTTGCAGGGGGATGTCGTCCCGGTTCTTCCCATGTATTATTCGCCAATCAGCTTAACACTACCAGTGACGTCACTGGTGGATCGCCAATCGGGGCCGTCCGGCCGGCCGGCAGGGCCCGTAGAAGGCCAAACGCAGACGTTTTCAGGAAATCGTAAGCCGTATAGATACAGTCGTGGATGGAGTTTTGCTGTAATTCGGCTGTCCAAGAGTGCGTCAGGGTACCAGGACTCGGATGAAGGTCATAGTGAACCGGCATCTGATAAATAACCCGCTCACGGCTTAGCAGCCGACTTCGACCCTTCGCCCTCGTAAAGCACAAAAGCTTGCCGGATCATCAATCCACCTGCATCTCCTCATCTGCTTACTGTCTATATCGACCAGTTACTGCAGCCGTTTGGGAGCGGCTCACGCGCTAGCCGCTGGTACTAAGCGCTAACCATTTGCATTGAGTGCGCGTGGCCGACTGCCGCCCCGATGGCGCTGGCCCCCGGCACCGACACCAGCGCGGCGCCGCTGACCCATGGGGGGGGGGGGGCTGCTAATTAGTTGAGCCGGAATTGGGATAGAAGTCGGTATGGGATTGGGATAGCAACTCAGCGAGACTAAGGGATTGTGTTGTGCCTTCGGTAGGCCCCCAAAATCACCGGTGTAGTGCCCTCAGGGCCGTCGGTTATGAAGCCTTTGGAGGCACTGGCGTGGGCACTCACAGGTAGGTACCGGTGTGAGGCCCTCAGAGGCATTGGTGCGGGGCCCCCGAGGTGCCGCTGTAGGCCCTCTGAGGTGCTAGTGTGTGGCCCTCAGAGGCGCCGGTGACTGCAGGGCTGCGGAGTCGATGGATTTTCAGCGACTCCGACTCCGACTCCGGCTTTCAAAAACCAGCTCCGACTCCGACTCCGACTCCGGCCAGAATTGTCGACTCCGACCGACTCCAACTCCCGACTCCGACTCCGCAGACCTGGCAGGGCTGCGGAGTCGACGGATTTTCGGTGACTCCGACTCCGACTCCGGCTCGGGTTTCTAAAATCGACTCCGACTCCGACTCCGACTCCGGTCACAACTGTCGACTCCGACCGACTCCGACTCCGACTCCGACTCCGACTCCGCAGCCCTGCCGGTGAGGGTCCTCACAGTTGCCATTGTGGGCCCTCAGAGACACTGCAGTGTGGGGTTATCACAGTCGGGTGTGGGACCCTTAGAGCTGCTGGCTCGAACCCTTTATAAGCCGACAGGGGCCCTCAGAGACCGACAAGGGGCCCTCAAGAGGTCTGCGGTGTCTTCAGGAGCCCTGTGGAGTCCTTAGAGACCAGCAAGGTACTCTCAGACGCCAGTGGGAGCCCTCAGAGTCGTCGGTGTGGGGCCCTCAAAAGTCACCGGTGAGTGGCCACTGGCCGTCCGATGCGAAGGTCCCGTCTGGGGCCGTCAGAGGCTCCGGCGTTCAGCCCTCAGAGCCGCCGATAAATATATGGCCAAGAAGCACTGGTTTGGGCCTTTGGGACTTCATTCAGGGTGCCGGTTGAACTCAGGTGGCAGTGTGGGGCCCTCAGCTGGGCACCGGTTTGGGGCTTTCACAGCCGCCGGTGAGGGCCCTCGCAGGCGCCGTTGTGGGGGCCTTCAACCATTGGTTTAGGGGGTCACCACAGGCGTGTGTGGAACCCTTAGAGCTGCTGGTCCCTGATAGGCCGTTAAGGGCCCTCAGAGGTCGCCAATGGGCCCTGAGAGGCCGGCAAGGGGCCCTCAAATGCCGACAAGGGACAATAAAAAGTTGGTGTGTGACTCTTATAGAGAGAAGTGTGGCTAGTCGGAGCACATAAGGTGTTCTTTCGAGCCCTGTGGGGCCCTTCTGAGTCGAAAATGCCAGCGTGGACCCTCAGCCGCCAATGGGCGTCGCAGGGCTCCTCGGGCCCGAGAGGCCCCCTGATCCGATGGGGGCACGTGCCCCCTGCCCCCCCCCCCCCCCTCCGGGTGCAGATAGAGAATGCAATCGGCGGTGCGGGACACAACAATTGCGATCGTTCCTTCTCCCGTCGCGAGGTCGCCCATCCGACCCATATCCCAAGATTGTCAACCCTGGGGCTCGGGTCGGCAATGCATTGGCAAGGAAATCAGCTTTAGGTGGGTAAAAAATTTATGAAGAGTCATTAGTTGTCGTTACGTTCAGCAATAACAACGATAAAGTGCTAAATGTACCCGACATACGGCTTGGAGCCAGGCGCCGCGTGGTCTCCACCAGTGACGTCACGCTAATGCTTAGCGACCGGTCCATCGGAAATTGCGGGATGATTCTACCTCTCTTATGCGGCCTTGATTTCTTGAATAAATTAACCACAGCTTAAAGGTGTTGCTATTGAGCGCCAAACACCATCAACGACTGCCATGCGAGGGGCAGTCGCAGACATAACAAAGGTAGGTTTAAGCACTTCAGAGCAGTTCAAGTGTAAAACGTGCTCTTTTTAATTTTATTTACTTGATATTTCATCAAACTTTCTAGCCATGGGTGCATATAAAGCCAGAAATATAACTGCTTGAGACTGAGCTGAGAGCAAGTCGTTCACACAATAAGCGTGACACAAAATAATTTAATAAATGAATAAAATGACTATTTTTGAAGTAAACTAGAGTGTAAAGAGCACAAAGGTTGAGTTTCTGTCAGTACATGATACTAATAACATGCCCATCGATAGCACAACTGTTACAAGTCACGTCTGCGTGGAGTTCCTCATATTTAACCTCCAGAATATCATAGAAAACAGTTAATCACTCACCCAAAATGTGTTTCAACGTTTTCTCTGATGAATTTTGTTCATGGGACTCTATCCGAAATCTCCCTGCACCCCTTTAATTTCATGTAATAGAGCACGAAAGCACCCAACTACACGATTCCGCCATAGGGTCCCAGGTAAACAACCACAGTCCTTGACTGTGGTTCACTGGCGGCGCAGTTCACGTATGCCGCAGAGGCAGCTGTCCCTTCTAGTCTTTATTTCTATGTCCACACTGCCCGCGTTGTGGCACTGGCCAAGATTCCTTTACTTACTCAGGTTGGTTCACTAAGGAAATAAAGGCGCCGTGGTGACGTGATCAGAGGAAATCCTTCACGTTCAAATGAAGGGGTCATTTGAATAGCTGATTTTGGCTCGATATATTCATATTTTTTAGTTTCAGCTCCATTTATCGTAATGAGGCGATCTCATTGTTACATTGGTACAACTTTTGATAATATATATCCTTTTTCTCCAGCTCGCTCCAAAGATGATGAAATTTGCATGCATGCCTATGGGTGAAGGGAGATTCTACCACCGTGGTGACGTCACGGAAAAGGGATTCTGGAGCTCCTGAACGGGGGCTGGTACTGGCTGGCGGACGTCTATACTGCGACAGCAAAGATGGTGTCACGAACACCACTTTCTGCAAGCTTATATCGTCAGTGGCGCCAGTGGCGGGCCGCTATGAAGAATATCATCACCATGTCTCTCGTTCCTAGCATTACCACGGAAGCCATCCGAGAGATCTTCAAGGTGCCGAAAACTCTGACCGAGGTTGGCTTCAGTGTGGTGTCCTCCACCACGAACGGCCATCGCACTAACCAGTCGTTCCGCAATGGCCTTGGAGCCGATGACGAGCATCCAGAGTGGATCATCAACCCGTACAGCACGGACGGTGCGAGGGTTACCACCAAGTACGACAGCGTTCATCTTTTCAAGAACTTTTACAACAGCCTGATCAACAATGAGACCCCAGAATGCCCACCAATGCCAGACACAAAAACGCCACTATCAAAACACCTCGAACAGCTGTACTTGCTGGCAAGGCCGTATATAGGCTTGCTGGAAGGGGGAGGAGATTGGAGAAGCGAAGATAGCCTATCGCCTCACAGACAGGGTGCTGCATCCTACCAATGTTGAGCGCGTGAACGTCCACCTGGCAATGGCTGCTACAGAAGCGAGTTCACTTTCTCAGCACTCCGCTTCTTCAGAGAGAAAATCGGATCTTCCCAGGAACAGCCGACTTCATAGAACTTCCGAGGCGCTGGGATAGCGTCGTGATAATCAACATTTGTGATCGCTCATGTCGTGCTAAACATAATTAAGCTTGAAAATGGTTTTGGAAAAGCCGAAACGTCGCTAGCTATTAATGAATACATGAACTTTGGGGATCTCATTTTTGACTTACCTCAGGATCAAAAACTTCTACTTCGACATATCGAACAAACACGCAAGAAGCTAACAAAAACAAGATATTCCCTGGCCTTCAACAAAACTTGTCTAAAAGAAAATGTTCTGCCAAAATACACACACATATATATATATATATATATATATATATATATATATATATATATATATATATATATATATATATATATATATATATATATAAGAAAAAGCTTCAGACGTTTCGATAAGTATTATTATCTTCGTCAGAATAAATGGCCTCATCGTTTCGCCGCACAACACAACACATACGTGGCGCACACATCAACATGAGCGTGATAAACATATTCGTGCACGTCCAATAAAATGTACGCATTAAAACAGAACAGGAAATTCAGACAATATACGTACTACGCGGTCTCCTACCAAACGAAAACGACTCAAATTTACACACGATGACATACACGCCTATTCCATAATCACCAGATCCCTCCGGCCGCGTTGCTGTTCCAAATTTTGTGAAGACATTTTAATTTAAGATTTTGTGGTAGGCTGTGCCGCCTGACGGCTGTGCCCTGCGGGTCAGTCTAACTCGTCGCCAGCCGACACCCGTTCATCCGTAGCGCTTGTTCATTCCCTCCTTTCCGCCTTGCGTTCCCAGCAGATTCATCCACCGCTTCTCTCTTGACCGCCTGTACTCGACATCTTGGCTCCACACTCTTTCTAGCCCGACGACCCCCACATCATCTATACTATGTCCCGGGGCAAGAAAGTGGAGCCGAACCGGGAGGGACACAGCAGGATTACTGGCCCTTATCGACGACAGGTGGTTCTGGATGCGAGTGTACAGACAGCCGCCCGTCTCACCCACATAGCACACACATCGACACACATTGCACCATATCCCATATATCACATTTACACTCCTACACCCAATCGTTCGGTCATAAGTGGTGACACACCCATGTCTCGGTCCCTGCACTAACTCCCCACTCGCATATGTCCGCTTACAAATACGACCGCGTAGTACGTATATTGTCTGAATTTCCTGTTCTGTTTTAATGCGTACATTTTATTGGACGTGCACGAATATGTTTATCACGCTCATGTTGATATGTGCGCCACGTATGTGTTGTGTTGTGCGGCGAAACGATGAGGCCATTTATTCTGACGAAGATAATAATACTTATCGAAACGTCTGAAGCTTTTTCTTTTATAATTTTAATGGCCACCTGCTGATTCTCATATATATATATATATATATATATATATATATATATATATATATATATATATATATATTTATATAATGATTAGGCTGCCTTTAGTCTAGAACAAAGAAGGATGATGGTTGGCTGGTCCCGAGGATAGAAAGGACAGGTAATGACATCATATAATGAATCGAAGACGGCCCCGGCCCGATCCTCTGATAGAGGCTCATCAACACGTATCTCGTTGTGGACCATTTCGTTTTCCTCCACCGTGGTTTTTGCACCGACCTCAACGGGTTGGAAGATTACGATGTTCAGAAACCATTAAGGTCGTAATTGTATATTCGTTGAGTTAGGTTAGCCCGCGCCCCGTAGGGCTACCGGCGGACCCTACCACCCGTAGGGGGGGGGGGGCGTATCGGCCCCCCCCTAAGATCTCGGAAAGTTACCGGCCGATTTTCAAAATTCAAACGGCGTTCGATAGCCCCACCTGGGAACTACCTTGTGACCAAATTTCATTGACCTAGGTCAAACCGATGACGTCACAGGTCAGGTCAAAGGTCAGATTTTCACCGTTCACAGGCAATTCAAGAAATGTGCTGTGAAAGCGATTAAATTGGTAATTTATTGAAAACCATCGATGATACATTGTTCGTCAAACACATACTTTGCTATCTGAGGTCACTGATACCAGGTCAGGTCACAGCGAGGTCAGGTCACCGGGGGTCACAATATGAATGTGTCGTGTGATACATGTTTTATGGTCCATTTTACATGACAAATGCGATTATGTGGGTTAGGCAGCCTTTGGGGCCAGCCTAGGTCACGTTTTTGTGAAGGTCAGGTCAAGGTCAGGTCAAATTAGGTCAAATTTCAAAGTTGATATTTTGCATAAAATGGGTATCGATTCGATGCAGCTCGTCACGGGGAGTCTAATGGTGGTCTTCGTTTTGCTCTACGAGTTCTAGAATTGCCAAAAATTGAGTTTGAAAATTTGACGTCATCATTTTTGAACAGTTTTTTCGCTATAACTTGGCCAAAAAACGAGGTATCGATCTGAAATTTGGTATGTAGATAGAAGACGGTAGGCACTATCACACAGTGTTCTAAAATTGGATTCTGGTTGGGTGTGACGATGATGAAAAAAAAATCTAGGATGAGAAAAAACAAGTGAAAACCTATATCATTTTCACAAAAAAGGCGTAACGCTACGCTGGCTGATACTAAAAGAACATGCCATTCCTGACCACCAAAACTAACCGAAAATTACGATGCAAATAGGCAAGGACTAGGGCAGAACTATTACTTTAACATTTGATCGCTTAGTGTTTCTAAACCCGTCCCATTTTTATCCCAACATTTGTGGTTGATTGAAACTAAGGAATTTAATAATCACCCTCCTACAGCAAAGAATGAATAAGTCAACCAGTGATATTTCATATTCCTTTCCTCACAAGTCAAAATACACGAGTGACCGTCCAGTGGTGGCCATCCTTCTCCTAGCCTTCAATCTATGCCTTCCTTTCCGTTTCAGATGCAGACAGCAGATACCGTCAGCATCCTGCTAAGAATCTACCTGCATACTGGCACGAATCCGGGACGGTCCTACTCCTGCCTGTATATTTCTCCTAAAGAAAATCATCCGTGGACCGACCTCCATCCTCGCCAGTTGCCATCATAGTTTTTAAGAAGCAGAAGATGCAATGATTCTGTTCCTGTTGTCATCTCTTTAGGCCAGGGGGGCGGGGGCGGGGCGGGTGAGACTGAGCTCTCCCTATCTGTAGGCTTAGGTCCTAGTCACTGGTGTAGGTATCTGGTCTGGTATAGCGTAATTTGCCATGTGGGGAAGTTTTCATTTTTCTAAGTGGCAAGGAACCTGTCGTTGCCGTTGGAAAGGGTATCATTTATTCGGTTTGGGTACACAGTACACGGCGACATTATGTGTACATTATAGCAAACACTGCCTCAGCGGGAGCATCTGTGGGAGATGGCGCCTGGCGTAGCTTCAGCAACTTGAGGGCTGCGATGCTCCGGTCTTCTGGATCTTGAGCTTGTTAAGGCGATGTTGAGATGGATAATAATGTTCCTTCAGTTCGTCCTGTATTATTTATTTAGTGAAGTTGACTGTGTACTGTGCGGACGGCGTGGTCGTCGCTGTGACACTGTCAGACGTAAAAAAAAAATAAGTAAGGTAATTGATACCACGATGGGCAGTTTGTTGACGAAACTGATCGCTATGAAACCAGAAACCGTATATCCCATGTGTTCTGACCTTTGTGACGTTTTGCGCTTACAATATCGCCGCATCGCTTCCAAGATTAGGTACTGCATATTTGAGATAATATGCGACAATATAAGTAGTTTTCATTCGCATCTGACATGGTACCTAATATTCGTACAGTGTACACAGTATAGCTTTCCATTTTCAACAGATATGACAATGGCCGGATGATGGGTAGGTACCTGAAAAATGGTGCCTCTGATCTGAGCACACGGAACGGGACGCAGTATTATGTATGCAGTCGGACTACGCAGCATGA